CAAGTTTACACTTTAAGTGCTAATTTGAACCTGTACAGAATTCACAATCTCAGCTGCACATGGTGGCACACGCCTGTAATCTCAGCACTCTGAAAAGCTGAGGCAGGAAGATCCCAAACTCAACACCAGCCTGAGCAATTAAGCAAAAACGTGTCTCAAAATAAAAATTTTAAAAGGGGGAGGGGGCATCTAAGGATATACTAAGTCTTAGTGTGTAGGCCCTGGGTTCAATCCCCAGTATCACCAAAAAAATTTTTAAAAATCACAAATCTGTACCTAATAATAATCCTGCCTTTCACCTGATGTCCTTGAATCACTCTGAACAAAGAATAATAAATTTTTTAAATAGAATATAGGAAATCAAAAGAACCTAAATGACTACCCCAAAACTGTCCCCAAGACTGCTTATAGGGTCCAGTGATTTCTATTTCAAGGATCTTCTCAAAGCATGTGGATTTTTCTCACTGTATGCTACTTGCTTAAAATTGTCCACTGAGGTACAAAGAAATCCACTGTTGCAAATTGCAAACAGGCTTCAAGTCAATCAGGAGAAAGCTATTAAATAACCTATAGTACATCTCTACTGAGAAACACAATATAATCATTAAAGACAATCTAATGACATGAAAAGATGTCGAAGATATATTTTACTTGAATACAACGTATATAATTTGAATTTTGTGGAACAACTACAGTTAATAATGATTATCTTTATAGTAAGTATATCAGAAGAATGATCTTTTACTATTATCAAAATTGTAATTAAGCTGGGTGTGGTGGCACACACTTGTGATTCCAGGAGGATGAGGCAGGAAGATCACTGAGTTCACAGCCAGCCTGGGCTACACAGTGAGTTCAAGACCAGCCTGCACAACATAGTCAGACCTTGTCTCAAAAAAAAAAATGTAATTGAGAGAGTTTTCTTGAAATAAAAGACGACCCGAAATTATATGTGGTTTTCAAACTTTGGCAGCCATCAATAACATTGACAGCTATTTAAAGCCCAATATTCCTGAGCCCGATCCTTAGACTTTTCTTTTCTTTTTCTTTTTTGGTACCAGGGATGGAACATGGGACCTTGTGCATGCGAGGCAGGTGCCGGAACCACTGAACTAAATCTCCGGCAGAATTTTCTAATTCAGTAGATCTTGAATGAGGCCTCTGCAGTAGGGCACTAGAATTTAATTTTTAACAAATTCTTAGTTAGTTGATTATGTGTGTTTGAACTTGAGATGTTACAGGGTCAACACTGCTAGTATGTATATAAGGGGAAACAATTTAAGCAGCCTTCTGCTCACACCAGATAGAGATCTATCTGAAGATGATGGACAGGAAACACTTTCAGAAATCTGTTTTACTAAGCTAAAAACAGAAAGAGTTTAAGTCAAAATAACAGCAGTTTTAGCTACATCAAACTAACTTTAAATGCACTACCATTTTACAATTAATTTATCCAATTTTAATTATCCAAACAAAATCTAAAATGAATCTTTGAGTCTAAAAATTCCACAATGTGCCTAAAGTACACATTCTATTTATTTGATTTGATTTGATTTGATTTTTTGGTACTGGAGATTGAACTCAGGACCTTGCACTTTCGAGGCAGGCATGGTGTCACTGAGCTAAATCCCCGGCCCAAGATACACATTCTACTTTATCCCTAATGTACCAGGAGCACATAATTTGGATTAGGACCATCACAGCCATTTAAATTCTTTTTCCCAGCCACATAGAGGCAGGAGGATCACAAGTTCAACCCAGCTTGAGCAATTTAACAGTTGGGGATATTCCTTAATGCGAAGGCCCTGGGTTCAATCCCCAGCATCACAAAAACAAAAAATTCATTTTCCCCACCATAGATACTAGTAATGCTAACCCAACGCCCTATCAAAAGTGTTACCCATCAATTAACTGGAAAACTACAACTACTAGTTTAAGAAAATGTATTTGCATTTTAAACATTAGTTATTGAATAAAAAGTATTTCCAGCAACACAAACTAAATAAAATTACAACACTTTTTTTTTTGCACAGTACTGGGGAATGAACCCAGAACCACTGCACTGAGCCACACAACTCCCTTTTTTTTGAGGCAGGGTCTTGCTAAGTGGTTCAGAGTGGCCTTGAACTCATTTTGTAGCTCAGGCGGGCCCTGAACTTGCAGATATCCTCCTGCCTCATCCCCGCGTGCTGGGGTTACAGACATTTGAGACCAGGACCAGGCCCAGCCTCATTTCTTTTTAGGTTTTTGTTTTTTGCGAGTTCTGGAAGGTTCTTTTTTTGTTTGTTTTGGGCTTTTTTGAGACAGGGTCTCACTATGCAGTTCAGGATGGCCCTGAACTCACTATGAGCCCAGGCTGGCCCCGAACTTGCTGCGATCCTCCAGCCTCAGCCACCCAAGTACTGGGATTATAGGCTATAGTGTGTACTTGGCTAAACTACAAAGCTATCTATAAAGTCAAATTTTGTGAACTAAATTTCAATTTTCAACTAACAAATCTTTACTATTCCTACACCCACACAAAATTTAGGGTACTATATTTGGAAGAGTATATCCAAAAGGAATAGACAATACCAGCCCTTCACCTATTTCACAATCCCACAGAAAAAATTTTTTTCATAAAGAGGAAAAGCAATGAATGAGTTTTCTGTCCCATAAAACAGCTACATATGACTAAACTTAAATTAAGAACAAAATTTATTTGTTTGAGTTTTTTGTTTGTTTTTGAGGCAGAGTCTCACTTTGTAATGCCAGCTGCCCTTGAACTCACTATGTAGCCCAGGCTGTCCTCGAACTCAAAGCAATCCTCCTGCCTCAGCCTCCTGAGTGCTGGGATTACAGGCATGTGCCACCACGTGTGGCTCAAAATTAAAACTGCACTATCCACTCCAAGCCACTCTAGTCACATATGAAATATATATATATAATATTATATACATATATTTGAAGTCAGCTGGGCACAATGAGGCACACCTGTAATTTCAGCAGTTTGGGAGGCTTGAGCAGAAGAAAGGTAGCAAATTTGAGCCCCACAGGGGCAACACAGCAAAATCCTCTCTCCAAATGAAAAATGTTTAAAAAGCTGGGAATGTAGCTCAGTGTGAAAGCCATGAATTCAAACTCAGGGACTGGGAGAAAAAATGTCATATTGCTAGTGGCTACTGTACAGTGCAGATATACAGCATTCCCATCAGTACAAATAGTTCTACTGGACAGTGCTGATACGGTAAGGGAAGAAAGAACTGTCAATTACTAATATTCTAAAGAATAAGAAAGATTTGCCCATTTCAATAAAATATTTGTTGATTCTTAGGTGCAAAACTTCCAAAACAGAGGGAAATGCAGCCCCTCCCATCTCCCTCCTCCAGAGTGACAATTTCAGAAAAAGTGCCAGAAGCTAAGGATCATGAAACTATTACATAAAATCATTTTAGAAAAGCTGCTTGTATTACTCGATTGTAGAAACCTAACTTCTTTTTGTCTGAGCCAGGGTCTCACCGTGTACTTCAGGCTGGCCAGAGCTCATCTTGTGCCCAAGCTGGCCCTGAACTCTCAGCTATCCTCCTGCCTCCGCCTCCAGAGTGCTGGGATTACAGGCACACACAAATACACCTAGCAAAACCGAACTTCTTTTTAAGATAATTTTTGCCCTTTTTTACACCTTTTATGGTTCTGGGGATGGAACTCAGGGCCTCAGGCATGTTACACCAGTGCTCCACCACCGAGCTACACCCCCAGCCCAACTTTTGCACTTATATTAAAAATTTTATGGGGCGGGGATTTAGCTCAGTGGTTCCGGCGCCTCCCTCGCAAGCACAAGGTCCCGAGTTTGATTCCCAGTACCAAAAAAAAATTTTACCTGGTGACAGACAGGCTGTTCCTTCGGTCCAAAAGAAAAGTAAACACATTTATAATTCTATGTTCAAAATTTACTGATTAGTTAACTTAAATTCTAAACAAAGATATTCAAGTATGGTCCCCAAAATACAGTACCATTTAATTACAATCAGTTTTCTCTACATCTTAAGTTTTTGCTTTGCCTGTACATGGAAAGAACGTGATTTTGAAAATCAAAAACTCCAATAAGGAAGCTTCCACAATCTACAATTTTGAGTGTCTAACTAGAAAGATTAAAAAAAAAAATCGATCATTTATATGTTTAAAAATATACCCCTCTAGACTGGCCTTGGGGCCCACGTGAGGCCAGTCTGGGGTACATCCAGAGTTAAAGGCCACTCTGAACTACATAGTGAGACACTGTACCAGGGATCGAACTCAGGACCTTACACTTGGGAGGGAGGCGCCGGAACCACTGAGCTAAATCCCCGGGCCCCCAAAAAATTTTTTAAAAAGACAATCCCCTCTCTAAAAAAGATAATTGTTGGAAAAGAAACAATAACCAAATATGAATTACAATAAAGACTAAGGACTGATGAACACACCAAAGAACATAGGAAAACCTAACAAAGTATTTTTGTCCTATGAATAAAACCGTCTAAATGTTATAAAATATAGGAGGCACAATTTTGGTCTAAATTATTGTAAAGCTTTCCAAAATTTAGATTCCAAGACGCATAATATTCTACTGCTAGGAATAACTCGGAGTAGTGTACATCTATCTTCCGTCCTCTCTCGCGCCAATCATGCAGAATGTTGCTCAGAAACACATGTGATACCTCCTAACCATTCCACACAGTCCTGCTCTGCACATCTGTGTTCCTAGGGCACACCTAAGACACCCTGAAGTTTAGGATAAACGGGGGTACGCTTAGGTCAAACTAATGGGGTCCACTGTTAAACGCACGCAAATCGGGTTGCAGGCAAGGAGATACTTGGGGTCATTCTTCAGAAGTCTCCTGGTCGGTATCCGTGGTCAGGGGCAGCTTCCGTTCCAAGTTCACGGCCGATTCATTTCCTTTTCTACACAATTTGGCCTCAAAGCAGTGTCCCTCAAGCGGCCCCGCCCCGGTGGCTGCTGGGACCGCGCCGCAGAGACTCACCAGGCGGATGAAGCCGAAACCGCGGTCCCGGTTGATGAAGACCTCGCTGGGCTCGCCATAGCGCTCGAAGAGCCGCTTGAAGTCCTCCTCGGTGATGTCGGTGGGCAGGTTCCCCACGAACAGGCGGCAGCGCTGCGTGTACGTCTTCTCTCCCGGCTTAAGGAAGCTCTTAATGTCGATGGTGAAGCCCATCTCCTCCTCCGGGCGGTCCTCCGGGGCCACGGGGGCGGGCGGCGCCTGCTCTCCCGCCAGCGCCAGCGCCATGGCCGCAGGCTCGCTGTCGCCCGCCGCGGACTCGAGCGCGCGAAGGCGGGCCGGGTTCTTCTCAATGCGCACTTGCTTCAGGTTTCCTCTTAACATCATCTCCGTGAACTTGCCTCGGTACTGGGCACAGGCCTAGACTTATATATGGCTACGTCTCTGCGTGTATCTATGGAAACGAAGCTAGGACACCCAGGACAGATGGCCAGGTGGCCTACAAGCAGCCTTATTTCCAGACACACAGGAGCGGTTGCCGCACATTCAAAATGGCGCTGCCTCAAGCCGAAGTTGAAAGGAAAAACGCCAACGTTAGCCCAGCCCCTCCGCAAAGGCTGGCGGTGCGCCTGCGCACACTGTGCGCCAACGGCCTTTCTGCTGCCATTGCGCATGTGCAGTGTCGCGGGCCTTACCATTCCAGCATCCTGCCGGTGTAGGGGGTGGCAGCTTCCTTTGCTGTCGCTTGCTGGTAGTTGGGAGTATAGGACGAATTATGTGATATGGGCAACAGTGGATGCAAATACAATGATTGGGGAATATCTTTATTCTCTTGAGTATCAAGCTCAATTTTTTTGTTTTTAAAATTTTTATTAGTACATACATGTTTGCAGTACACAATGATCACATTCATGGTGGGAAGTTGGTACGTGTATGTAACATATCTCAATTTTTTCATTCCCTTCCCCTCCTCGCCTTTAAACCACATTTTTGTTTGTTTGTTTGTTTTGTTTTGTTTTGTTTTGAGACAGGGGCTCTCTATCTTGTTCAGGCCGGCCTTGAACTCCCGGCGATCCTCCTGCCTCAGACTCTTTTGAGTTCTGGGATTACAGACCTGCACCACCACGCCTGGCCTTTTTTATCTTTTTGACACAAGGTCTCACTATGTAGTTCAGACTGGCCTTGAACTCACTATGTAGCCTAGGCATTCACTCAGTTTTCAATAGGAGAAAATAAAAACGGATATTTTGTACTTAGCAATCCGTATCAAGCTATTCCACAGTAATTTTAAGACATCTGTATTTCATTCAGTTTCAAAAACAAGGTTTTTATTTTCTAAAGAAAAAACCTCCATTTTATAAAATAATTGAGCTGTTGATCATGGACTTCAAAAAAGGACTCCATGAAATTACTTATAATATTAATACAACCAAGCCAAGCATGGTGGTGCATGCCTGTAATCCTAGCACTCAGGAGGCTGACGAAGGAGCATCACCGTGAGTTCGAGGCCAGCTTGAGCTTCATAGTAAATCCAAAGCCAGCCTGGACTACATAGCAAGACCCTGTCTGCAGAAAACAAAACAAAAATTAGTACAGCCAGATCATGGGGCACAGACTTAGGACAAATACATACAAACTTTTGCTGTGAAGAGCCAGGTAGGCAGTATGTACAGTATCTACAATCTGTAAATCATACTGTACCTACCTGAGCTCCTCAGCCTGTGCTACTACTGATTTGTCATGAATACTCAATGCATATTTAAAAAGAAATGAATTCACAGTCACCCTGAAAAACAGCTCAGCAATTTTTCATGAAGTTAAACATTTGCTTACTTTACAAAAGTCACACCACTCCTAAGTATTTGGGCCTAGATACTTCACTGTTATATTGTTTAGCACATCTGAGGCCCTGGGTTCAATCCCCAGCACTTCAAATAAATAAATAATCCTAAACATCCAAGTGAAAAGAAAACTTCATACAAAAAGTTTCTATGCAAATATTTATAGGAACTTTATTTGTAAGTTTGAAAATGCTGAAATAATATGTCGACAGATAAGTCCATAAGCAGTAGCACAATCATATAAAATATATCAAGGGCTAAGCATGGTGGCACACGTCTGTAATCCCAGCACTGTAATCCCAGGGTAAAACAGGAGGGTCACCCCAAGTTTGAGGCCACCTTGAACTACATAGAGAGACCTTGCCTCAACCCCCCCAAAAAAGAATATTAAGCAATAAAACAAATAAACCTTATAAGCAACACTATGACTATAAAAGCTACATACTGTATATGGGACATTCTGGAAAAGGCAAAACTGTACTACAGAACACAGATCAGTGGCTTCCAGGAACTAGAGGGTGGGAAAAGTTGACTACATAGGGACACAGAAATTTCTGAAATGATGAGATTATACCCTGATTGTGGTGGTGACTCCACAATTCTGTTTGTCAAAACTCAACAGACCATCCACTAAAAAGATGAATGTTATTGTATTTAAATTAACACATTAAGCAGGCCGGAGATTTAGCTCAGTGGTACCCCACCTGCCTTGTAAGTCCAAAGTCCTGAGTTTGATCCCCGGTACCAAAAAAAAAGTGAACAATTCCTGTTTATTTACCTTATTCATTACCCATTTTTTTTTACTACTACCCAAATTTTAATCTTCCAGATTCTAAAACAAACAGGTCTGTACATTCCTCAATCTGACTCAATTCCCCTCTCTCCTTCCAGTCGATCCAAAGCCTTCTGTTGAGTCCTCAAGAACTTCCTCTACATCATCTGCTTGCCATAACTTTTTCTCTCATTTTTCTTTTACCTTCCTGCTTTAACTGGAACATAGCTTCCTCTGAGGGCTGCCTCTCCTACACATCTCTGTAGAAGTATATGTGTTTTTCTCTTACATCTTGTGTGACAGGACTTTCATGGAATACATTTGTCCTTAATCTCTTGCAACTTCCTTTATTTGATGAAAATCCCAAATCCAAAAAAACTCATGCCAATGTAAACTTCCCTCCCTCCCTCCCTTCCCACCCATTCTGTAAATGTTGTGAACTCTCTAAATTTCTTTTTCCTGCTTTTCTAAACAACTGTTTTACACTATTTTCTCCCTCCTGAGACCAACACTTCTCATAGGTAATAATGCTACATTTTATTTATTTCACTGTTGAAAAAGCCATGGTCAGAATAAAATTGCCTCATCCTATCAGCCCTAAATTTACCAGCCTATCCATCTACAACCTTACATTGCTTTCTCCTCCTATCACAATGAACAAACCACCAGTGGTCTATTCTAAGGCCAGACATCTCATTTGTCCGCTTTGTTCAGCAGTTATTGAATCACCTTCTCAAATGATCAATTTCTTGATCTGTACTGGAATATTCTATACCTAGATGCCAAATAAGTATCTCAAATTTAATGTGCCTAGACCAAGATTCTTTATAATCTCCCCATAAACCTTGCCATACTCCAGTCCTTCACACTTCATGAAGGCACCATCCACTTTCTCAGACCAATAATCTAGGGACCACACTTGACTCCTTTTCTTACCCCATATTCGGTATCCAATCCTTTTTGCTTTAGTGCCAACATATATCCTGAACACAAACATTTTAAGCCAACCCATTATCATCTAATAACTACTAATCATTACCTAATAACTACTAAAATGAGACTGTCAGGGACCAACACTGTGGTACAAAAGACTGCCATAACAAAACAAAATCCTGGGTGTATTTGACTATTAGGCTTTGTAGCACAGTGTACTTTTTTTTTTTTTTTTTTTGGTGCCGGGGATCGAACTCCAGTCTTTGTGCTTGCAAGGCAGACAGTGGAACCACTGAGCTAAATCCCCGGTTCATGCACAGTGTACTTTTTAAGCTAGGGAATGACACATACTAAGTAAGTGCTACACCACTGAGCTACACTCTTAGTCTTTTTCAAAATTTTATTTTGAGACAAGGTCTTACAAAGTTGCCCAAGCTGGCCTAGAATTTGAACTTGCAATCCTACTGCCTTGGCCTCCCAGGTAGCTGGGATTATGGACACATGCAACCACATCTGGCATAAATATTTGTTTTAAAAATATAATCCCAGCATCAAAAATAACAAAATGCACACAAATAAACTTAACTAAGGCAGCAAAAGACTTGTACACTGAAATTTACAAAACACTGTTGAAAGCTGGGTATGGTGGTATACACCTGTAATCCCAGCACTTGAAAGGATGAGGCAGGAGAATCTATATAAGTTTGAGGCCAGCCTGGGCTACATATTGAGTCCAAGTCCAGCCTCAACTACATATTGAGACATTGTCTCAAAAAAACCCCAAAGAAACAAAACATTGTTGAAAGAGAAATTAAAGAACACATAAATAAACATAATGACATCTCATGTTCATGGGGTGGAAGACTGAGTTGTGATAAAATGACAATAATACACAAAGCAATCTTACAGAGTCAATGCAATTGCTACCAAAATCCAAATTAAGATTGTTCTTAGTTTTTTAATCTGTTTAGTTTTGTTACAGTTTAGATCTGGGATGTCCTTCAAAGGCTCAGGTGTTGAAATCTTAGTCCACAGCTGATGGTACAATTGGGAGGTGCTGGAAACTCCAGAGGAGGCAACTCATTGGAGGAAGCTGATCACTGTGGGGTACATTTGAAGGGTACATTTTCTCTGGCTTTTGGCCCTCTCACCCTCTCTGCTTCTGGCTGCTACCAAGTAAACAGCTTTCCTGTGTCATACCTTTCCGACATACTGCTCTGCCTTACCAGAGGCCCAGAAGGAATGGAGCCAGCTGTCCATAGGCCTACACCTCTGCAACCATGAGCCAAAATGAACCTTTCTTTTTTTCAATTGTTTATCTCAGGTATTCTACCACAGCAACAGAAAGCTGATGACAGTTTCCTTAGATTTTTTTCTGAAATAAAAGCCCATCTTAAAATGCATATGGAGAGGGCCAGGGATTTAGCTCAGTGGTTCCGCTGCCTCTCTTGCAAGCGCAAGAACCCAAGTTCAATCCCCGGTACCAAAAAAAAAATGTATATGGAATCTCAAGGGACACTGCTTAGTAAAAATAATCTTGTAAAGAGGCCAGGGATTTAGCTCAGTGGTTCCGGCGCCTGCCTTGAAAGTGCAAGGTCCTGAGTTCGATCCCTGGTACCAATAAATAAATAAATAAATAAATACTTGGGCTGGGGATTTAGCTCAGTGGTTTCGAAACCTGCCTTGCAAGCGCAAGGACCCGAGTTCGATCTCCAGTACCAAAAATAATAATAATAACAATAATAATAATAATATTGTAACAGAACAAAGTTAGAGGTTTCACACTTCCTAATTTCAAAACATACTGGAAAAATCAAAACAGTGGTACATATGTAAAGATAGACATGTAAACCAAGTATAGAGTCCATAAATACACCCTTACACATACGGTCAATGTTTTTCAACAATGGTTTCAAGGTTATTCAATAGGGAAGGAATGATCTTTTCAGCAAATGGTTTGGGTAACACTGGACATTTATAGGCAACAGTGATGGCTCATGCCTGTTATCTTAGTGCTCTGAGAAGCTGGAGCAGGAGGGTTGTAAGTTTGAGCCCATCA